GTAGGGGGAGTGTGTGTGTGTGGTGTGTGTGTGTGGTAGGGGAGTGTGTGTGTGTGGTGTGTGTGTGTGGTAGGGGGAGTGTGTGTGTGTGGTGTGTGTGTGTGGTAGGGGAGTGTGTGTGTGTGTGGTGTGTGGTGTGTGTGTGTGGTAGGGGGAGTGTGTGTGTGTGGTGTGTGTGTGGTAGGGGAGTGTGTGTGTGTGTGGTGTGTGGTGTGTGTGTGTGGTAGGGGGAGTGTGTGTGTGTGGTGTGTGTGTGTGGTAGGGGAGTGTGTGTGTGTGTGTGTGTGGTGTGTGGTGTGTGTGTGTGGTAGGGGGAGTGTGTGTGGTGTGTGGTGTGTGTGTGTGGTAGGGGAGTGTGTGTGTGGTGTGTGGTGTGTGTGTGTGGTAGGGGGGAGTGTGTGTGTGTGTGGTGTGTGGTGTGTGTGTATGGTAGGGGGAGTGTGTGTGGTGTGTGGTGTGTGGTGTGTGTGTGTGGTAGGGGGAGTGTGTGTGTGTGTGGTGTGTGGTGTGTGTGTGTGGTAGGGGGAGTGTGTGTGTGTGTGGTGTGTGGTGTGTGTGTGTGGTAGGGGGAGTGTGTGTGGTGTGTGGTGTGTGTGTGTGGTAGGGGGAGTGTGTGTGTGTGGTGTGTGGTGTGTGGTGTGTGTGTGTGGTAGGGGGAGTGTGTGTGTGTGTGGTGTGTGGTGTGTGTGTGTGGTAGGGGGAGTGTGTGTGTGTGTGGTGTGTGGTGTGTGTGTGTGGTAGGGGGAGTGTGTGTGTGGTGTGTGGTGTGTGTGTGTGGTAGGGGGAGTGTACTCAGTGTGTTCTTATCCTCAGTGTAATAGCGGCTCTAATGCAGACAGAGAAAAGACCTGAGTCAACTCAACCATCACCACTGAGCCAATATTTAACCAGGACACCCAGAGACAGAGAGAGAGAGAGAGAGACGGAGAGAGAGACATTCAGAGACTCAGAGAGAGAGAGAGAGAGAGAGAGATAGAAAGAGAAAGAGAGAGACATTCAGAGACTCAGAGAGAGAGACACAGAGAGATAGAGAGACAAAGAGAGAGAGAAAGAATTACAGAGAGAGAGAGATATACAGAGAGAGAGAGAGAGAAAGAGAGAGAGATACAGAGAGAGAGACAGACAGGCAGAGAGTGAGAGATATACAGAGAGCGTTATACAGATTGAGAGAGAGGGATACAGAGGGAGAGAGACAGACAGGCAGAGAGTGAGAGATATACAGAGAGCGTTATACAGATTGAGAGAGGGGGATACAGAGAGAGACAGAGAAGGAGGAGAAGGAGATGAAAGAAGGTAAACGTTCCTCTTTAGTTGGGGTGAATTGACAGGCGCTCTCGATCTTGTCAGCTGTCATCACACCTTTCAAAATGGCACAGTATCATTACACTCATCCCTCTCTCCCTCTATCTCTCCCTCTCTCTACCCCCCCTCTCTATCCCTCTCTCCCTCACCCCCTTCAGGCTTTATTTTAATAGAGCCATTCACTTAGAGCCATATCCCTCTTTCTCTTTATTCCTTCATTTCTCTACCCCCTCTCTCTCTCTCTCTCTCTCTCTCTCTCTCTATATATATATATATATATATATATATATGGCCTCACAGTGGCTAATGTTCATGTTCATGAGTCCACCATCAGGAGAACACTGAATCACAGTGGTTGTTGGCAGGGCTGAAAGGAGAAGCTGCTGCTGTCCAGTAAGAAAACTGCTGCCCGTCTGCAGTTTGATAAACATCACATGGACGAGCCAGACGGCTACTGGATCAGAGTTTTGTGGACGGATGAAGCCAAAATAGATCTTTTTGGTTTAAATGAGAAGCTCTATGTATGGAGGAAGGAAAACACTGCATTCCAGCATAAAAACCTTCTCCCATCTGTGAAGCATGGTGGTGGTAGTTTCATGGTTTGGGCCTGTTGTGATGCATCTGGGCCAGGAAGGCTTGAATCCTAAAGGAACATCTCAGGACTTCTGTCCAGGAGCTGAAACTCATGAGAATGTGGGTCATGCAGCAACATAACGGCCCTGAGCACACAAGCCATTCTACCAAAGAACGGTTAAAGAAGAATAAAGTTGTTTTGGAATGACCAAGTCAAAGTCCTGACCTTAATCCTACAGAAATGCTGTGGAAGGACCTGAAGCAGCAGTTCATGGAAGGAAACCCACCAGGAACCAGCTAAAATTCCACCAAGTCGATGTGCAGAACTAACAGTTTAGAAAAACCTTCTCCCACCTGTGAAGCATGGTGGTGGTAGTATCATGGTTTGGGCCTGTTTCGCTGCATCTGGGCCAGGATAGGTTCACAAGCTTTGAAGCACCACTGTGTGTTTTACTGACTGTATTAAGTGTCTAATTTGGATATTTATTATTGATAATGATGGCAGATTTTCACCTTATAGAGTAACTGATACTGTATTGATGACTGTATCACTTTCACTACTGCCTCTGTCATCATAAATACGTTTATAGAGCTCATCAGATTAGCCTTATTTTACACCTGAGAGGGCCAGCCAATCAGAAAAGAGCTCATTTACATATATCAGCCTGAAAGGCACAGTAACTCAAACAGCCTGTTTAGGCCTGAGAGGTGAGGAGAGGGTGGGAAAGGGTCTCGCTCCCTCTCTCTCTCTCTCCACACATTATTTTTCTCTCTCTATTTCTCTCATCCCTCTCTCTCTCTCTCTGTCTGTCTCCCTCTCTCTCTCCCTCTCCCTCTCTCTGATGGGTGATGATAGATGTGTGTGGAGTGTGTGGGGTCAGGGTGTTTGAAAGAATCGCGTCAGGCTCTCACTCCTCATCCTCCTCCTGCTCGACACGCTGATGGATGGACAGCACACAGGTCAATTTATCAGAGAGGGAGAGAGAGGCAGAGAAAAGAGAAAGAGACAGAGATACAGGAAAGAGTGAGAGGAGAGGGAAGACACAGAAAGAAAAAGAGAGAGAGGAGGAAGAGAGAGAGAAAAAGGAAAGGAGAGGAAGAGGGAAAGAGAGAGAGAAAAGAGTGGGAAAGGCACAGGGAGAGAGAGGGAAAAGAGAAAGAGAAGAGAAAGAGACAGAAAGAAAAAGAGAGAGAAATGAGAGCTGGAAAGAGAAATAGAGAGAAAGAGAGAGAGAGAGAGAGAGAGAGAGAGAGAGAGAGGGTGAGGGTGAGAGAGACAGAGAGAGGGTGAGAGAGAGAGAGAGAGAGGATGAGAGAGAGAGAGAGAGAGAGGGTGAGAGAGAGAGAGAGAGAGAGAGAGAGAGAGAGAGAGGGCTGTAAGTGAATGGGACTCTCTGCCTCTGCTGGTGTGAGTAATCTGAATGTATATCTCTTTAAATATGTAAATATGTAAATATGTGAATGAATATTCCTCTGTATCGGTCAGGTACGCTCGCGTGTAGCGCGTGCTTGAGTGAGTGAGTGAGTGAGAGAGTGAAGGAGTGAGAGAGAGAGAGTGCTCGGTGCGGTGCGGGTCGCGGTGGCCGCTTGGAGGCGCTGTTGGACGCAGAAAAGCGAAAGGTGAGGAGGTTTTGATCAGAGGTTGAGCCCGCGTGCGCTTTGAGGAGTGATTGATCTTTGTGGGCTCTGGCGAGCACGAGCAGCAAACGGACAAAGAAACTAACAAACACAGAAAATAAATAAATAAATAAACAAACAAATAAATAAATAGTCGTTTTTGCTGTAAGTCACAGGGAGGTGCAGCAGGGGGGCGCGGGGGGTGAGGGGGGCGGCCGCTAGAGGGCAGCACGCACACACGCGCACACACACACACACACACACACACACACACAGTCAGAGCGCGGGTGGGGAGATTGGTTAACCGCACTCTCTCTCTCTCTCTCTCTCTCTCTCTCTCTCACACACACACACAGTTTCTCTACACACTTACAGACATATATAAATAAACCACTGAGTGCCTGGATGACTGACTGACTGACTGACTGACTGAATGAATGAATGAATGAATGAATAAACGAGTTGTCGCTTGAAGGACCTGATTGATTGATTCATTGATTGATTGATTCATCAGTAACTAAATGAGTTCATTAGTGACTGCCTGAACAAACAAACGAAGAAGGTAATAACGGAATAAGTTTTCACCTGAATGACTGAGTGAATGAGTGAGCGGCTGGCTTAACTGATAAATGAACGAATGAACGAACAAACGAATGAATGAATGACAGAATGACTGAATGAATGAGTGACTGAATGAATGAGTGACTGAATGAATGACTGAATAAGTGACTGAATGTGTTACTGAATGAGTAAATGAATGAATGAATAAGTGATTGAATGGCTAAATGAGTAAAAGAGTTACATGAATACGTGAACAAATGAACGAATGAATAAATGAATGGATGGATGAAGGAACAACTGTATGAGTGACTGAATGACTGAATGAATGAATGCCTGTATCTCGTATTCTCCCTATGAGTGAGCTAACTCTCTCTCTCTGTCTCTCTCTCTCTCTCTGTGTCTCTCTCTCTCTCCTGCAGTCTGAGGCTCGTGCGCTGCATGCTGAGCGCTGCTCATTCTGTTGCCCCTCACTGCTTCACTACCTGCCTTTACACTAAAGCCTAATTTACCCCCCTCCACCCCCCGACCCCGCTCATATTTTACCCCCCCAGAACAAAACGCGCCGGCACGCGACGTCAATACACGTAACCGCGGCCTCGCGCTGGTGTTCTGCCTGCACGTGCAGGAGTTTTAAACACATCACTAATTTGTTATTGTTCCGCTGCAAATGACGGTGATGATGATGAAGCTCGTGCACCGCGCGAGTAGATCGGCACGAAGCCGGTGGGAAGAGGAGGTGGAGGTTTGGGGAGGGGTGCGCGCGAACGAGTGAGCGAGCGGAGGGAGAAATAGAGAGGGAGATAGAAAGGGGGCGTGGCTTGTATAACAAGACTTTTTGATCGGCGCGTCGTCGCAGCCAATCAGGAGTGCCGTGGCCGAGCGCGCGGGGCTCCCCATTGGCTGCTGGTGGCCTCGCGCCTCGCAAAAGGAGGCAGCAGCCGCGCAGCCTGCGCAGAAGAGGACCGAGGCGCGTGAGAGAAACAGAGAGAGAGAGACGGAGAGGGAGAGGGAGAGCGCGAGCTGAGGATTTGTCCGCGAGACAGAGAGAAAAGTGAGGAAGAGGAAGAGGAGGACTGCGGCTCTGGAATGCGTTCGCCGCGCGCGTGGAGTGTTATGAGGAGTATATGAGGAGTTACCGCTCGTGCTCTGCGACGGAGATGATGCGCGTTTGACACAGAAGAGGATTTTTTTTGTCGCTGTTGTTGTTTTTTTTTTCATTCATTTCTTTCTTTGTTTCTCTTTTTCTGGCCATGTTTACTCCCGGCTGCCCTTACCGGACTCTATACGGGAGCTTCCGGTGCTGACGCAGTGGAAGCGCGCGCACACGGGAGCCCCAAATAAGCACGGAGAAATGGGTTTGGAGCAACGGAGGAGCTTTGGCACGTAACGCGCGCTGAGAGAGCGAGAGAGAGGGAAAGAGAGCGAGAGAGAGAGAGAGCGAGAGAGAGTGAGGGCACGCGCCTGTTTTGGAAATGTTTGTGCTAGTGCTCGTGCTCTCGCTCGCGCATGGAGGGCTCGCGCAGCTTCGTTACTCGGTTCCGGAGGAGAAGGAGCGCGGCACTTTGGTGGCCAACATCGCCGAGGACCTAGGGCTGGACGTGACGAAGCTGCACGCGCGCCGCTTCCAGACGGTGCCCAGCTCGCGCACGCCCTACCTGGAGGTGAACGTGGAGAACGGCGCGCTGGCGGTGGGCGCGCGGACGGACCGCGAGGAGATCTGCCGCCAGAGCGCGCAGCAGCAGCAGCCGTGCCTGCTGCACCTGGAGGTGTTCCTGGAGAACCCGCTGGAGCTGTTCCGCGTGGAGGTGGAGGTGCTGGACGTAAACGACAACGCTCCCGTCTTCCCCTCTTCCGACATCGTGGTGGAGATCACGGAAAGCGCCACGCCTGGCACCCGCTTCCCCCTGGAGAGCGCCGCCGACCCGGACGTGGGCACCAACGCCCTGAGCGGCTACGCCATCACCGGCAACGAGTACTTTTCCCTGGATGTCCAGACGCAGGGTGACGGCAACCGCTTTGCCGAGCTCGTTCTGGAAAAGCCGCTGGACCGCGAGCGCCAAGCTGTCCACCGTTACGTTCTGACTGCGGTGGATGGTGGCCAGCCACAGCGCACCGGCACTGCCCTGCTGGTGGTGCGGGTGCTGGACTCCAATGACAACGCGCCTGTGTTTGACCAGCCCGTGTACACCGTCAACCTGCGTGAGGACGCAGCACCTGGAACGCTGGTCATCCAGCTGAACGCTACGGACGTGGATGAGGGCACCAACGGAGAGGTTGTTTATTCCCTCAGCAGCCACAACCTGCCCAGCGTGCGCCAGCTGTTCGCTGTGGACGCCCGGAGTGGCCGCGTGGAGGTGGCCGGTGCGGTGGATTATGAGGAGAGCAACACGCACCAGATTTACGTACAAGCGCGAGACATGGGACCCAACGCTGTTCCGGCGCACTGCAAAGTGCTTGTAAAAGTGGTGGATGTGAACGACAACGCGCCTGAGGTCAGCTTCAGCACGGTGAGTGAAACGGTCAGCGAAAGCTCCGCGCCGGGCACCGTGGTGGCCATGCTGAGTGTTTCCGACAAGGACTCTGGAGAAAACGGGCAGGTGAGCTGTGAGCTGCTGGGTGACGATGCTGCACCATTCAAGCTGAAACCGTCCTTTCGGAACTACTACACTGTGGTGACTGACGGCCAGCTGGACCGCGAAACGGCCGACAGCTACACGCTAACAGTCGTAGCGCGAGATGGTGGGACTCCGCCCCTTTCCACTAGCAAGTCTGTAAGGGTGCGAGTGTCTGATGAGAACGACAACGCGCCTCGCTTCACGCAGCCTGCGTATGACGTCCATGTTAGCGAGAATAACGTGCCCGGCGCGTACATTTACGCTGTTAGTGCGCTGGACCCAGATTTGGGTGCTAACGCTCGTGTTAGCTATGCTATCGAGGAACGCGAAATCCAAGGAATGTCTGTGCTCACGTACGTGTCTGTGAACTCGGATAACGGCTACCTGTACGCGCTTCGCTCCTTCGACTACGAACAAATACGGGAGTTCAGTTTCACCGTCAGCGCCCGGGACTCCGGCGACGAGCGGCAGCTAGCGGACAACGCCACCGTACGAGTTGTGGTAGTTGACCAGAATGACAACGCGCCTAGCATCATCGCACCCATGGCGCAAAACGGCACAGCTCTGGAGCGCCTCCCACGGACGGCCGAGCCGGGTTACCTGGTGACCCGAGTGATCGCCACGGACGCAGACGATGGAGAAAACGCCCGGCTGTCGTACAGCGTCATCAGCGGGAATGAGCTGGGCATGTTCAGGATGGACTGGCGCACTGGAGAGCTCCGTACGGCACGGCGCGTCGGATCCAAAAAGCGTGACCCGACGCAGCGGCCTTACGAACTTCTAGTGGAAGTACGTGACCACGGGCAGCCACCGCTGTCCGCCTCAGCCACCATTAGCATCGTGCTAGTGGACGCTGTGGCCGGAGGCGCGTCCGGCCGGTCAGAGAAAGGCGGGCACGCGCTCGGCGGTCACAGCGAGGGCACGCTGGACCTCACCCTCATCCTCATAGTTGCCCTCGGCTCCGTTTCCTTCATCTTCCTCTTGGCCATGATAGTGCTTGCCGTGCGCTGCCGCAAGGACAAGAAGCTCGGCGCGCGCTCCTGCCTCACGAGGGGCGGGGACGACTGGTGCGCGTGTTGCGCGTGCACGTGCTGTGGAATGAGCGGCGGCGGCGGGGTCGGCGCGGGCGCGCGCCGGGCGCGCAAAAAGAAGAAGCTGAGCAAGTCGGACATCATGCTGGTCCAGAGCGCGGCGGGCCAGAGCGCGCACGCGCAGGTGCCCGTGGAGGAGTCGGGCAGCTTCGGCGCGCGCCACCTCCACCGCAGCGCGCAGAACTACTGCTACCAGGTGTGCCTGACGCCCGAGTCCGCGAGCACCGAGCTGATGTTCCTCAAGCCCGGCGGGAGCTCAGACGGCGCGGTGGGCGCGAGCTTCGCGGAGCAGCAGCAGCAGCAGCCGGACATCATCTCCAACGGCAGCATTCTGTCCAGCGAGGTGAGGGCGCGAGCGCGCGCAACACGACGCACCACAGCACAGAAACGCGCGCGCGTTCATTTTTGTTTATTCATTTAATTTAACGCTCTTGCACTGAAAAGGCACGTGCGAGTAGGTGCGCGCGCTGTAGTTGAACCAGCACGAGAACCGGGCGGATTCGAGCACACGATTACCAGTTTGGCCATACCGGCGCGCGAGCACAGACGCGTACTCACCAGTTCTGGGTTCTGAGAGCGCGCGCATTAACACATTAACACGAACACAAACATGCACGCGGACCACTTAGTTTGGCTTGGAGTGCTTTCAGAGTTTTATGCGCGTGCATAAATACACCCGCGCGCGGAGACTCTACAGGCACGTTCATGTAAACAGAATCCTCTCGCTCTGATTGCGCGCGTTGACACACGAACACCAAGCGGACCTATAACGGAGTGCACCGCCGCTCGCACGCTACCGGCTTTAGAGTGCGTGCATGCACAACAAGTCACACGTGACTTTATAAAAGATGGTTCTTCAGAGGTTCTTTAGTAAAGGCAATTGTTCTGTTTGGAACCATGAGTTGCTGATAGAACCATCTGCGTGCTGGAATCGTTCTCTGCATGGTGAAATGGTCCTTCAGGTTGATGGAGAACGTGTTGTATATGGTTCTATATAGATCCCTTCCCTTTACTAAAGAACCCTTGAAGAACCATCTTCTTTCAGAGCGTGGAACGCTCGCAGAAAGGCCTCGTTTTTGGCGGCAGGCACACGGTCGCGCGCGTGCATAAACATACAGACAATTAAGAGTTATTAGGGCTATGGGCGCGCGCATAAACACATTTTATTTTTTGGTGTTTTATATTTCATTTTTTGGCAAGAACGCACGTGAATGAATACCCACACGGTGGTGGATTGCGGCGCGTTCATGACCGTGCACGCGTACATAAACAATTTTTAAAGGCACGCGCAAGAGTAAAGGCTGGCGCACTTATTTATTTATTTATTTATTTATTTAACTTGTAAATATATTGATTTTTTGTATTAAGCGTCTTTTTTGTCACTGACGCACGCGGACAAACACACATCCACACAGGTCTTGGATTTTGGCGCGTGCACGTGCTCAGACAATGACAGCATTACTCTTGTTTTATTTCTGCGCGCAACGACAACGTGGAGTTTTGGCTGAGGGCACGCGCATCTACATACACACCTGCACGAGCCTAACGCCCTGGCTTTACCTATAGGTGTGGGCGTTCACACACGCACACACACACACACGCATTGCACCATTATCACAGTTTGTATTATGAGTGTTATTGTGACGCGCGCGAGCCCCGAGCGCTGTTAGTTAGTTGTTTCTCAGAGCTCTTTGAGTTGCCCCAGATCGCGCGAGCAGCGGGTTAAAGCAGTGTGTGAGGCGCGCGCTGCTCTGAAACTAAACGCAGCAGGTTTGTGTTTCCCTGCGCGCTCGCGGGTTTTACTTTGTGTTTGGAATGTGTTGGCGATTCTGATCACGCGCACGCGGGAGGACAGCGAGACAAAGCCTGCTCTGTGAGAGAACACACACACACACACACACACACACAAACACAAACACACACACACACACACACACTGAAGATGTTTGATGTCTAAAGACAGATCTCATGTAAATGTATATGCCTGTATAAATGTATATATATGAATATATATGAACACTTCTGAGGTTATATGAGTGTTTATAAACAGGACTGTATATATGGCATACAGTATATATACAGTGCTGTGCGAAAGTCAGAGCACCCTTTATTTACAGTCATTAAGTACAAGTTATTCATATTTTAGTGTCGGAAAAAAGCATAATATATATATATATATATATATATATATTTGTTTGAATGAGCATGCATGTGTTTGTGTGTGTGTGTGTGTGTGTGTGTGTGTGTGTGTGCAGTGATTTGATGAGTGTTTCATAACAGTTATGTTGTTTTATAGAAGTAACGAGTCCTGAATCGAATCTTAGGCTGAGTCTTGTATTAAATTTTGAATTGAGTCTGAAGCTTGAATTCTGTCTCAAATCGAGTCTTTAACTGAATCAGAATTTTGCCTTATACTGAATTTTGAATTGACATTTGCACAGCAGTGTGAGCATATGTAAGTGCATATTTGTTTATATGACCATGCATGCGGGTCTGTTTATATATATATATAATGCTGTTGTCGGAGGAAAACCATGTATCTATTATTTACTTTTAATGTAAGTCGATGGAACCAGAATTTACAAGTCATTTTGGGTCGTTTCTTTTGGTCCATTCATCATGAAATTTACGTACAATGTAAAGGGTAACAGACATTTTCAAATTATGTCAAAAACTAAAAAAACACCAAAAATGGAGATATATACAGCGAGATATATAAATATTTACTGTCCAAAAAAAAATGTCCAATCTCCATTTTTGTCGTTTTTTAGTTTTCTACATCATTTCAACACACCATCTGTCCTTTACGTTGTGTAAAGATTTCATGATGAATGGACCAACAGAAACGCTCTAAAATCACTTGGAATAAAACCACTTTACATTAACTTACACTGAAAGGTCAGAGTGTTTTTGTCTTCCTCTGTAAAGTTATTATTTTGGAGATACTTGTTTTTCTTTGGACAGCGACAATATGTATCTCTGTGTGTGTGTGTGTGTGTGTGTGTGTGTTTGGTGACTGTATGTGCAGTGAGTAGAGTGTGTGTGCAGTGAACTGATGCATTTAGTTTTCATACCAGCAATGTTGTGGCACGGCAATAAAGTATCTGATTTAATAGTCTGAGTCTCAAACTGAGTCTGAATTGAAGCTGGAATTAAATCTTAACTGAATCTTCAATTGAGTCTAGAACTGAATCTTGTCATTTTTTTTTGTCAATTGTGTATCAAATTGTGTATCAAATTGAGCTTCAATTCCAGTTTGAATTGAGTCAGCATTGAATTTTAAATTGTGTCTCAATTGAATCTTGAATTGAGTATCAAATTTAATCTGAAATGAGTTTGAATTGAATCTTGAAGTGCATCTCAAACTTAATCTGAATTGAAGCTTGAATTGAGTCTGAATTGAAGCTTGAATTGAGTCTGAATTGAAGCTTGAATTGAGTCTTGAATTGACTCTTAATTTGAGTCTGAACTAAATCTTGAACTGAGTCTCAATTTAAGTTCGAGTTGACTCCTGAACTGATTCTTGAATTGAACAGAAAATGATTCTCTGTTTATTTTTGGGTTTTTTTTTCAGACTAAACACCAGAGAACAGAACTCAGTTACCTGGATAGACCACGGCGTGTTAACAGGTAACACACACACACACACACACACACACACACACACACACACGCACACACACGCACACACACACACACACACACGCATGCATACACACACACTTACAAAAACCTTGCTGTAAATCTGGGGGCCCAATCTTCTTGTGGTAACACTAAACTCCAACGTCACTGTGCCATAAACATGTCACAGCAGGTGGCAGATGTTGTTGAGTAACATAAAAGTGTTAACAGTAATTGTTGTCATAACAGATGTCATAATGTTTGATGTTATGACAGCTTACGTCATGTGCTCGTTTTTGCTGAATGTACTCTAGTTACCCGTCATGACATCAAACATTGTGGCATCTGTCTTTACAATTAAAGACAAAGATAACATGACACTGTTATATAACTGAACATAATGACAGCGTGTGACATCTGCCATAACATGTTTATGAAATGATTATGTCATTGTTATGCAGCAGAGTTCAAGTAAAGTGTTGCCCCTTTTAGTCTAACTAAAGCCTAAATCTGCCAAAGCCTCTAAACTACCACTATAATTAGCCCCTTAACTGTCCAGGCCCCATCGACAGGCCCAAAGCTTTATTACACGCTTCTATAAGCTAAGAATAGCTCAGCCAGTTTGCACTGGAGTCCCCGTAGTTACTGAGTAATAAGCCGTAGTGTGTAATAACCCTGGGATTTTAAAGGGTTAATAATACGGGCACGACGCTGACCACAGAGTGACCTCACGACATAAGACGTGTGTGCTGTAGCGTCTGTTTTCAGACTGTGTTTTGATGCCACTCACAGGCTCTGCTCTCTCTGCAGCTCAGCGTTCCAGGAGGCGGATATAGTGAGCTCTAAAGACAGCGGGCATGGAGACAGCGAGCAGGGGGACAGTGACCACGACGCCACCAACAGGGGGCACTCCACGGGTCAGTATAAAGGATTTAAGAACTCTCATTGTAGCTCAGAGGTCTCATGTTTACTGACAGATTTATTTTGGCTGTAAATGAGTAAGAGGAAGCCTGTGTGTATTAGCAGTGGGTAGTGAGCTGGCAGGGCTGTGAAGGCTGTGTGATGAATGCTGTGTTATGAATGCTGTTGTGGATGCTGTGTTGTGGATGCTGTGTTAATGCTGTGCTGTAAATGCTGTGTTACGAAGAGTATGTTGTAAATGCTGTGGTATGAATGCTGTGTTGTGAGTGGTGTTGTGGATGCTGTGTTATGGATGCTGTGTTTCGAGTGCTGTTGTGGACGCATTGTTGTTAATGCTGTGCTGTAAATGCTGTGTTATATACAGTATGTTGTAAATTCTGTGGTATGAATGCTGTGGTATGAATGCAGTGTTATGAATGCTGTGTTATGAATGCTGTGTTATGAATGCTGTGTATCGAGTGCTGTGGTGAATTATGTTATGTGGATGCTGTGTTGTGAATGCTGTGCTGTAAATGCTGTGTTATATACAGTATGTTGTAAATGCTGTGGTATGAATGCTGTGGTATGAATGCAGTGTTATGAATGCTGTGTTATGAATGCTGTGTTATGAATGCTGTGTATCGAGTGCTGTGGTGAATTATGTTATGTGGATGCTGTGTTGTGAATGATGTGGATGCTGTGTTGTGAATGCTATGCTGTGAGTGCTGTTTTGTGAATGCTGTGTTTCGAGTGCTGGTGTGAATGCTATGCTGTGAATGCTGTGGTGGAGATGCAGTATTGGGGTGCTGTGTTGTGAATGCTGTGGTGTGAATGTTGTGAATGCTGTGTATCGAGTGCTGTTGTGAATTATGTTATGTGGATGCTGTGTTGGAAGTGCTGTGCTTCAAGTGCTGTTGTGAATGATGTGTTCTGGATTCTGTGTTGTGAGCACTGTGTTGTGAATGCTGTGTTGTGAATGCTGTGTTTCGAGTGCTGGTGTGAATGCTGTGTTGTGAATGTTGTGGTGGAGATGCAGTGTTGGGGGCGCTGTGTTGTGAATGCTGTGGTGTGAATGATGTGTTGTGGATACTGTGTTGTGGATGCTGTGGTATGAAAGCTGTGTTGGGCATGCAATGTTGTGAATGCTGTGTTTGGGATGCTGTGGTGTGAAGCTGTGCTGTGAAGCTGTGCTGTGAATGCTGTGTTGTGAACGCTGTGGTGTGAATGCTGTGGTGTGAATGCTGTGCTGTGAATGCTGTGTTATGAATGCTGTGGTGTGAATGCTGTGGTGTGAGTGCTGTGGTGTGAATGCTGTGTTGGAGATGTGGTGTGAATGCTGTGTTGTGAATGCTGTGTTGTGAATGCTGTGGTGTGAATGCTGTGTTGTGAGTGCTGTGTTGTGAATGCTGTGTTGGAGATGTGGTGTGAATGCTGTGTTGGGGATGCTGTGTTGTGAATGCTGTGTTGGAGATGTGGTGTGAAAGCTGTGTTGGGGATGCTGTGTTGTGAGTGCTGTGGTGTGAATGCTGTGTTGTGAATGCTGTGTTGTGAATGCTGTGGTGTGAATGCTGTGTTGTGAGTGCTGTGTTGTGAGTGCTGTGTTGGGGATGCTGTGTTGTGAATGCTGTGTTGTGAGTGCTGTGTTGTGAATGCTGTGTTGTGAGTGCTGTGTTGTGAGTGCTGTGTTGTGAGTGCTGTGTTGGGGATGCTGTGGTGTGAATGCTGTGTTGTGAGTGCTGTGTTGTGAATGCTGTGTTGTGAGTGCTGTGTTGTGAATGCTGTGTTGTGAGTGCTGTGTTGTGAATGCTGTGTTGTGAGTGCTGTGTTGGGGATGCTGTGGTGTGAATGCTGTGTTGTGAATGCTGTGTTGTGAGTGATGTGTTGTGAGTGCTGTGTTGGGGATGCTGTGTTGTGAGTGCTGTGGTGTGAATGCTGTGGTGTGAATGCTGTGGTGTGAATGCTGTGGTGTGAATGCTGTGTTGGGAATGCTGTGTTGTGAGTGCTGTGTTGGGGATGCTGTGTTGTGAGTACTGTGGTGTGAATGCTGTGGTGTGAATGCTGTGTTGTGAGTGCTGTGTTGTGAAGCATGAAGCCCAGCTGAGTGAGGTGGAGCTGACATTTCTGAGGACTTTCATTATTTCCACTTGTTTGGGTGTGTGTTGTCGGCAGGGAAGCTTGGAGAGTGTGTCTTATTGATGTGTGTGCAGTGTGTGTATGTTTGTGTTTGTGTACTGACCTTTTTTTCTCAGTATGATGTCACTGGGTGGCCAAATATAATTAAATTACTCAGTCAATACCAAACTAACTTATTTAGTCTGATGTAAGACCTGTTTCAGAGAGAGAGAGAGAGAGAGAGAGAGAGAGAGAGAGTGGAGAGAATCAGAAAAGATAAAGAGAAAAAAAGAAAGAAAGAAAAAAGAAACAAGAATATATCTAGAGAAAGAGAAAATAAAGAGGAGAGAAAAAGAAAAATTAGATTCAGAGAGTGTGATCTGTGTGTGTGTGAGAGTGTGTGTGTGTCTGTGTGTGTGTGTGTGTGTGTGTGTGTGTGTGAGCGTGTGTGTGAGTGTGTGTGTGTGTGTGTGTGTGTGTGTGTGTGTGTGTGAGCGTGTGTGTGAGTGTGTGTGTGTCTGTGTGTGTGTGTGTGTGTGTGTGTGTGTGTGAGCGTGTGTGAGTGTGTGTGTGAGTGTGTGTGTGTGTGTGTGTGTGTGTGTTGGGGGGTTCCTCGTGAATAATCGTTCTGTGTGTGTTTGTTGAGAAACAGAAAGAAGTGTGAAAAATCTCACAATCAAATTAGCACGCTAACGTTTGATTGACGATTATCTGTGAGTGAGTGACAGGCGAAGAAGTTAATCAGATCAGCTGCTGCCATCATGATTTGCCACACTCACACACCCACACAGACGCACAAACAGCGTTCAGCAACGTTTTACAGCCTGAAATACAGACTAACAGTGTGAACCTGATCTGAAGTCATCATTATTATTATCATTAATATATTATTATTATTTAGAGTTCGGGACTTTTCAAAAAGCCACTGTGCTGTTAAACCCCTTAAAGTATAACGATACTTCGATTTAATGACTACATTACTTTAAAAAAAGAATAATTAACAAGATACTGAATGATTCATAGCAGATACTGAATAATTCATAGTAGATACTGAATAATTCATAGTAAATACTAAATCATTCATAGTAAATACTGAATAATTCATAGTAAATACTAAATCATTCATAGTAAATACTAAACAATTCATAGTAAATACTAAATCATTCATAGTAAATACTAAACAATTCATAGTAAATACTAAACAATTCACAGTAGATGCTGAATAATTCATAGTAAATACTGAATAATTCATAGTAGATGCTGAATAATTCATAGTAAATACTGAATAATTCATAGTAGATACTGAATAATTCATAGTAGATACTGAATAATTCATAGTAGATATCAAATCATTCATAGATACTGAATGATTCACAGTAGATACTAAATAATTCATAGTAGATACTGAATCATCTTCCTCCTCTCCTTCTCTCTTTTTCTCCTTCTGTTTTTTTCTCCTCCTTTTCTCTTCTCCTTTTCTTCTTTCTCTCTCTCTCCTTCTTTTCTTTCATTCTACCTCTCTTTCTCTCCCGCTCTCCCTCTTTCCTTCTCTCTCTCTCTCCTTTTCCTTTTCGTCTTTCTCGATCTTTCTTTTACCTCCTCTGTCTCTCTTTCCTTCTCTCTCTCTTTCTCTCTCCTCTCTCTCTCTCTCCCCCCTCTCTCTCTCGGTAAAGACAGGTGCTCTCATGGCACATTTCTGCTCTTAAGCTGCATTTTTTTTCTGACTTTTTCCCGTCCTGATGATGCACGGAGGTTTTTTTGCAGCTCATTGATAAAACGATGTGATGAGCTCTGGAAAAGGGCAGAAAGTGCAGAGAGAAGCAGAACGACGCTAAAATAAAACCCAGCAGGAGGACGAGAGAGAGAGAGAGACAGACAGAGAGAGAGAGAGAGAGAGAGAGAATATCATCCTGTAGTGTAAACTCTGCGTCTCGCTGCGGAGACGAGGCAGCGTTGATCCTTTAATTAACGTGTTAATTTAAATGATTGTAATGTCCTTTGCTCTCTGAGCTTCACTCTGCAGAGGGTTTTCATTGACCACCCCAGATGGCCACATCACTTCATTTATCATTAATCATTCATTCCAGTGTCTCACTGTGAGGGACGTTATGATACAGAGTCATTCAGACCGGTTTGGTGTGAAACGCTCCGTTCTAGATTCAGAACTGTTCACAATGGTGGTGATAGGAACCAGACGTCCCCCTCTAAAAGCTCCCTCACAGAAAGTTCCTACATGAAATGGTTATGAATTCACTGCCTGATGACTGAGACACTGTTTTATGATAGTTTAGAGAACTTAAACTCCATTCATGGTGGAGGGATACATGCAGGGCGCTGTGAGGCAAAATAGTCCCCAAAGAAAACTTATTATTTCAGATTTTCCACTATTTTCCATCATCAACATTCCATATAAACTCAGAAGACTCGTGTAGGTTCACTGGTGGTTCTGGATAGTAAATAAAATGTCTATATCTGTGTTGTAGTCATGGCGACCCCTGGTTCCTATCACCACCACTGTAAACACATCTGAACCATTTCACACCAAACCACTCTGAATCACTCTGATTACATCTCACACACTGAATTATGTATAAGTGTACACTGTATAAGATGGTTCTTCAAGGGTTCTTTAGTAATGACAGTGACTCTATAGATCCATGAACATATAAGGAAACACTTGCATGCTTAAATGGTTCTTTGCAGGGTGAAATGGTTCTTCAGATTGATGGAGAATGTGTTGTACATGGTTCTATGTAGCACCAAAAAGGGTTCTACTATTGTATACAACACATTCTACATCAATCCAAAGCACAGTTTCACCATTTACAGAACCCTTTAATCATGCAAATGGCTGTTTGAGTGTTCATGGTTTTATATAGAGCCACTGTCTTTACTAAACTTACTG